AAGTATATTATGAGTCATCATAGCTTACTGGATAATGTTGCTTTTTACAGGAACATTATCTAGTTGTCTACTACATAATGAGAGCCGTGTGCATTAGAGAGGAAAACCTGAGAAGCCGACTCAATTTCGACCAGAAGCAGTTGAGGCAGGTTTGTAGTCATTCGTTTTTTTTCCAAAATATTGCTTCAAGCTTTTGACTTGACATGGTCAAGATATTTTTTCAGCTCCTCGCTGGGTTGAAGAATGAAAAGCTGGTGAAAGATCGCTTACTGCAACAAAAGAATGAAACCGGTAGAAACGTCTCCATCATTTTCTACTTTATCAACTACCGCGCTATTATAAATGTTCTTAAATATAAAATTGATCATATGAGGTTGGTTGTAATTTTACGGCCTTGCTAGCTTATACTGTGACCTACCTTAAAAAAACATTCAGGCAAATGTTAGAGGCGAGGGAAAAGAATGAGTTGCAAAAGGCGAACTACAAGTGTGAGCAGTGTGGTGCGCAGTACGAGGTGATTCACGCTATTAAAAAGCTACCATAATAAATCTTCTCCATTTTTAGGACATGGACATTGATAGGATATTTGACCCACAAACAGGAACGTTGAAATGTTGGCGATGTCAAGGTGAAGTGACGCAAGATATCACGGGAGGACCTACTCAAGTTACAAGGTTCGCTAGAACAAGTTGCGGAAAGGTTTTGATGTTTACATGGATGTTCTTCAAGGACGCTTCTAGCCCGGTTTAATGAGCAAATGCTCCCATTATTCGCAGCTATTCGGGAACTGGCTGGCATACAGCTGGCACCACATCTTCTGGAACCGGATATAAATCAATACCTGGCTGAGGAAGATAAAAGTTCGTACTTTTCTTTTGTTTGCCCACTACTTCTACTTAGTTTTATAACATCGACCGTGGTGAAAAATTGGTGGTGACATCAGTAATAGTGACATCTTCCCATTCATCTACACAATGAACGGTGGCCGCTTATCAGTCAAATCTCCTGCCATTTCAGTTGGTCACAGTCTCCGTCGCCAATTCTGCTTACGCGTGTAACTCAGCTTTACGGGAAGCCCCTATTTTATGACTTATTCTCACCGCACAAAATGTGGAATCCATCGTATTCACTTCTAACTGTAGCTCAGATTTTACTTTTTTTTTTCGTTGCGCTCTCAGAAACATCTTATGAATCGGGTTGTAAGGGGAGTTCTTGCCGTTTTAGACAGTTCAAGACTCAGTGCATAGAGCTAATTAAGTTTTCAGTAGACTGCTACGGTTAACACATCTTTAGAAAGTGCGTTTTTGCTCTATCTAAAGATACTGTCAGCTTTACTTTATATTGACAACTTTACATCTTTCTCACTTTTTTCGAAGCAACACTGCCAACGGGGTCCATACCTTTGATACTCATGATGAGAAATGAAGTGCTAGCTCTAGTCAAGAACATGAGAAGTGTCACTCAACAAGACTCGCCTTGGAAATGCGCTAGAAGGGTTTTGAACGCTTTCGAAGTGGGCGCCGACATCATTCGGTAACGCCCACTTGCCAGCCGTGGAGATCGCGTGCTTGGATGCGGGTCCTTGCGCGATTGCGTGAACTGTCCCGCGTTTCGAAATTAATGCTGCCTCTTTTTGATTGGTTTTACTTGCTTAACTCATTTGAATTATCGTATTTCTTTGTTTGTACTGATGCATATGTCTCTGTTTATTGGTGCATATGCGATTGCAGCCGCATTTCTTGCTGGCACGAGCCAGCAATAAATGCCGGCGGAGCAAGCTAGTTCGGACAGCTCGTCCGGCCCGCCCCTTCCTTCATTTCAAGAGGAAACAGAGGGAGTCTTTATTTAGGGGCTTCATTGGCGGTTTTCTTTGCTTTTTTTTCTATTTGCAGTCAACTCGGCATCCACAATTTCATTACCAACCATTTTACCCCGCGAATTCTTTCTGGAATTGTTGCTTTGAAGTCAGCCTTGAGTAAAATTTGCCCCATGAGCGAATCCCCACGACTTTCCTCTTCTGACCCAAGTCGACTTGAATCAGTGCAGAAAGGAGTGAAATCTACTCATAATATAAATTATTTGGTTGGTCTCGCACAAGAAAAGTGCTGTGCAACGTTAGTTTGGGAGGTCATGTAGGGATGGTGAAGGTGGTGACGGTGGTCGTTCGATATCGAACGTTGGTAGGATTTAGCTGGAAAAGTTGATAGAGCCTACTGTGATGCGTATTGTTGAGAAGGCCGCTGATGATCAGGCGTACTGATTTGTGGTTCCAAGTCACATGGAGTAGGTTGAAAAGTTCGGCAAGGCCGGTAAGAAATTGCCGCAAAAAATCGCGGTACCATAGATGTCCCTCCCTTCTTCTGCCTGTTTTCATCCAGTGAAAACTACCAATTCTCATTCGTATTGTGATGTGCAATGTAGAATATATTCCTCGTAGCAACCTATAAACTATAGCTGAGCAGTTCGACCACGACCAGGGTCAATGAAACCTTGCAATGTGACACTTCACGAGGAGAACATTGCGTCGCCTTTTACGCGGTCTGCGACCGATGCAGCTCCACGAATCCAGGTGGAGGTTCTAAAGTGGAACTGTATAGCGAGTTGTCATAATACTTCGGAAGATT